GCACCTGCAACCCACCCCTCCCTACGCATAACCCAGAAACTTATTCCTTTCCCCCCCCTCCAGTCGCACCAAATATAAAACAGGGTCAATCATGAAAGGTATGTAGTAAGCCCTTCACAATTAAAAATCTATAGAATGTTGTTCCATGGTTTTATGAATATATTTAGATTGCCTCTGTGATTAGTAAGTAATGTTCTCCAAGGTTTCCCAGATGTTCTAAATATAAGATTAAAGGCAATACTCTGTAGTCAACTTGTTAAAGGGGAGCAGAATGTGTAACCCATCAGGGAAACCTTGATGGGGAAGGGGGAAGGGGAGGCGACCAGTCCCAGTCACCAGTAGGACTACTCTCCCTCAACGGAGTCTAGCTTTGTAGCTTTGTTGATGTCAAACCGAGCAACCAAAGAGACTCTAAGACAATCTAGTTTACATCAAATTGCAAAAAGATATTGGCGGTTTTGCAGTTCAACGTACCTAATAAACACCAACTTGAGTTTTGGAAGGTCTGAAACATACCCAATTTGTATTTTGTTCCTACCCTTATCTCGAACATGGTGCTCCAATGCAAGAAATGAAATTTTTGAGACAAACCCATTTCAGTTCCAGGTCTGATCTGTAAACTTTCCCCACTGATTTCTTACACCTCCCCCGATTTCTTCTCTACTCCTCCCTTTCCTCATCGAGACCCATGGCCCCTTCCCTCTGGTTTTTTCTACCACACTCCCACAGAACCCCAGCCCCCATACCCATTCCCCTTCTTCCCGACCCATGCCCCTCTAGCCCATAAACAGAGTTAGGTTAATGGTAAGTAAGAGAGGACAGGTGTCACAAAAATAAGAAAGAAACAGGGTGGCACAGGGAAAATGGTAACAGGAAAACTGAACTCATCGCAACCCACCCCGCAGAGAGAGAGAGAATTCAATTTTTTAAAGTTTTAAATTTTATGTTTGTATTTTAATTTTTTATTAATTTTTTTTATTCATGCTGGAGGTGAGCTCCACTTGACCATATTACCCACTCAAATTTGTGAATAAAAAACCTATGTACACAAAATTACTAAAACACTCATGCCACGTCATCAAACTTAACGGACTTTTAAATGGAATTGACGGTAGAGGGCACTGTGAAACATCAAACCTTAGTCAATGGGGCAAAATGGGCCACTTTAACTTTAAGGGGGTAAAATGAGAATTGACCAATATTTCAAGGTGCACTGTAGTAATTAAGCATTTATATTTTTGCACAAATGAAATTTAGTAGTAGAAAATTTAGTGGGGAAAGTGAAAAATATTGGAAGGAGATGAATTTATATGAAGATTTGGTGTGGAAAGTGAATAATATTGATAGGTATTTATAGAAATAATTTCCATAATTTCTTGATATTTTTTGATATTTTTTTTGTTTGATATTTTTGATATTTTTTTTAACCAAAAATTAGACAACCATTGGATTGGGCAAGATTTTTTGATTGGAGACTCCAGGAGAAGCCACATGGCTTGTAGCCATTGGGCTATGTGGGATAGTGGGTCACACTGATGTCAACAGCCTTCGGACAACAGCCTAGTCCATTTTGCATGTGGGCTTGTCCGGGCTAGTGAATCCCATGCCTTGCCCGAGCTGAGTTTGAAGCACTGGAGGTGGAACTCGGGCCTGGGGGGGCCTATTGCCAAAGTAAGGCCTTAGACCATCTCCAACCCAATGGGTGAAAACTCAAATTTTGAGTTTTGAGTCCAAAATTCATCTCCAACCCATGTATTTTCAAGGGTGGAAATTTGAGATGGGTGGAATTTTGGGTGGAATTCCAGTCTGAGTTTTGCCTGGACTGGAAATTTTTTGTGGACCCCAACTCATGCTGCACAGCCCATATGAAGAGGAAAAATGGAGTGGGCCCTACGCGGAAGAAAGTTGCAGCTCTCCCTTTGCTTTTGCATGACAAGTGGCAGCTCACCATTTGTAGTTATTGTTTCTTTCATTTTTTTTATTTATTAAACTTGCAACTTAAAGTTGCTCTGTTTGGAGTAAAAAAAAAATTTATGTTTTGAATTTTGGATTTTTTTAGGTTAAAATGTTTAGAAAATTAAATCACGAATGTTGAAATAAAAATAATATCAAGAAAAATTAATGGCAAAAAAAAAATTGAAGGCTAACTATTTTTAAACAATTTAGATAAAGTAGTAGACTCAAATTATGAGTCTACAAGGTTGGAGGAAAAAACAATTTGAGTCCTAAAAATACATGAATAGTTGTATTTTAAAGGGTAAAAATTTGAGTTTAGCCTCAATATGATTGGAGATGGTCTTAGCGCTGCACTTGCTCTAAGTCCCTCTCTCTTCTCCAATTCAAATCAAACTTAAAGTGGGGCGTATTTGTTGTTTTAATTCCTTTTTATTAAGCCTTCTTTTATTTTTATTTTATTTTAACTTCTTACTTATATTTTAGATTTTTTTTAAAAAAAGATACTTTAATGACGGAATATTCAAAGTGCAAACTAATTTTTGATTGTTGATATTAAGTGATTGCATCAAGTTGGCACCAAATTATCACTTTCTCCTTTATGTTTCTTTTTGGACATGATTGGCCGTTACCATACTTACATCAAATTAGTCTCTCCATCAAACCTTATGTTAAATTGATGAGGTGACATATATGTGGAGCCCACACATTCATTGATATAGAGCCACTTGGTGGGCTCCACATATGTGTCACGCAAGTAATTTAACAGAAAATTTGACAGAAACTCAAACAACACATACCAAAAGTGATAATTTCACGAACCTCATGACCATTTGTGATTTGACAAAAAAAAAAAAACCATTTGAATATGATAACGTCTTCTCTTATGTGTTGTGCGTGATTACTCTACTGATAACTATGGCATTCCCAAGATTAATAAGGAGATAATTTAGGGAGGCCATTTACTTACCATGAATGAGGAAGTAATGAATCAGTATGAGAGGAATCATTTCCATTAAATTGTTTACTAACCATATGGAATCAACACATGAATGGAGTTTATTCCCATTGTTATTGTTTATTAGTTCTCTTGAATCAGAACATAAACTAATTTGATTACTAAAATGCCTCGCACATATATTATATATATTTTTCACCTAAGTAACTTGTGAAAAAGCAAATTGACAAAACTTTATTTACAATTAACATATAATATATGATACTATATGACAAGTGATGAAAAAACTAGTATATGATAATATAAGGAATATAATAGAAAAAAATAACAAATATGACACGGTGATAAAAAGTATAACAAGCGAAGTAGAGGCTAGTAACTAAGGTGAAAAGGGAAATTTTTTTTTTTTCATACAGTGATTAAAAAACAGCCATTGATTTTTTTTTTTTTCCAAACAAAAAAGGCTTCTAAGGTTTGGAGCGTTTTGAAATTATCATAAAGTGGAAATGGTATTTTTGAAAGGCAGGGAAAAAATGAATGGGAATCGGATCAATTGCTCCCCCTAGTTTATCTAATTCCTGGTTTTGAGGGAATGTGATAACGGATTTTGAGGCGGGGGGAAAATGATTCATGCAAACTAACAAGGTTTAATAATACAGCTTCTAAAACCAACTTCTACTGGCTACAATCATTCATATGGTCATTAATTTGCACTGTATTCGGCAGATGACAGACTATTCTGTCTGTGCCTGCTATGCCAACAATAAAAAGCAACAGAAAAAATAATTCACTAGATAAATCTAACACCTTTCGAAGAACACAACAGTGGTTAACAAACCCAAGTAATTTTTGGAACTGTCTAGAGAAATCATTTCAAGTTCTACCATTAAACTGGTGAGCAAGGTGGGCAATGCCATTGCTTTGAGAGACTTTCCGTCTCAGGTTGAGATGATCCAAACCCCATACTCGAATTGTACGGTCATCACTAGCTGAAGCCAACATATGAAGGTTCACAGGATTCCAGCTCACGCAATTTACAGCTCCAGAATGCCCAGGAAGAGCCAATAGGAGCTTCCCAGACCCTCTATGCCATATATACACCTACAACAAGTAAGATCAAACCTACAACGTCAATCCAAAATGCCTTAATAAATCAAGCATATTAAACCATTTTAAAATTTCTAAAAGGAACAAGCATGTTGTTCTGGTTCCATGAGTGGCTAAAGTCTCTCTCTGTGAAGAAGCTTCCCATTTCTTTGCCTACATTCCAACCAATTTCATACATCTCAAAAGAACATTTGAAAAAATGAAATGAATAAGGAAAAGAAACTGATTTTTTAAAGACAAATCAATTGCATAACAGTCCATGGATGTTCCAATTACATAACGACAGAGATTTGAGGTATGACTGAAATCCGACTAGCATACAAGTTGCTCAAAGCAATTTCACGTATTTCTGATTCTTCCCATAACAATGGAATAAAAGTAAACATATAAAGTACGCAGGATTGCTACTGTTAGGACATCATGTAATGTTTTTGGACATAAACTGGTGTAAAAAGGACAGTTGCGTCCTGTTATACCCATTTCACGGGAAATCAATTTGTCATAACCAAGCAACCAGCCCTAATTTTTGTCAGACAAGTAAGTTCATGTAAAAGTACCTGTGAATCCTCACTCCCGCTAGCAATAAAGGCTTGCTCAAATCCACCAAAACAAGATCTAATGACAAATCGGGCACGCTTGTGACCTTTGTACTTGGAAACAACCTTAGGTTCACTCTCTATGCTCCAAAGATGAATTTCTTGGTTTATGAGATTGACAAGCAGGAACTTATTGTCCTTCGATAACGAAAATGAAGTAATCACTTCATCCTCTTCAATCAGCCTTTCAAACTTTGCCTCCCTGTCAAGTAATAATATTGTGGTTTCTCTGCATATGTTTATGATCCTCTTCCCATCATCAGTTATAGCCATGTCCGATATCTTGAGTGTTTGCTGCCCTTTCCAACATTCTAGCTCTACTCCATCCAAATCCCACAGGCAGATACTCTTGTCAGTCATGCCAGAGAATATCCCTCTACCATCAGGAAACCACCCGCAGGAAATAAGACCAACACCATTTTTTTCATAAACATGGAGGCATTCTCCAGAAGTAACATCCCACTGTCTAATGACCTCCTCTAGTCCGCATGTCAGCAGTTGGCGGTCATCAGGGCTCCATGAAACAGTCAGCACAGGTTTCTGGTGACCAGTCAATACATGTTTCACTGAAACTTGGCCATCCCCTTTGACCTAAAAAGGTAAAATTGCATTCAGAAGGATTAATAAAGCGAAACATATTGTGTCTGTGCTCGCACATGGTTGGATTGATATGGAGATGCCACACTTGTGTTTATGAGCAATAAAAACAATCTGCTAGAGGATAGTAATATCAAAGAAACATAATGTTAATAAATATTTAGATTGCATATAAAATCAAGAGATTTCAACAAGAAATTCCATCTGCAGAACGGATTTTCAGGACATGGGAGCATGTTAAATTGTAATGTGATCCAAATATTATTCAAATTGTACGAAAGAGGGGAGGGAGGGAGAGAGAACAAGTGAGGTTTAAAATTCTTTCTCAATAAATTAACAGCCAATAATCAGATAAATAGTTACCTCCCATATAATGGACGACTGATCTTTGGAAGAAGAAGCCAAGTATTTCCCATTGTGTGAAAATTGCAAAAACCATATTTCGTCACTATGCGCATGCAGTATCTGTTACAATAAATGAGTATAAGTTTTCAAATTGGCAACATGGAGCCCATCCAAACAGTTAAAAACAAAATCATAATTAGAGGCAAATTTTCTGTCCAATTCGAGGTAAACTATATATGGGACATCACCAAATTGATTGAACAGAAGATGAAATCCAATAAATCAAAATAATAAATTTGTCAATGGCAAGATGATGACACATAGTTACACAAACGGACAGGGCTGGGCCTTGCAGGCCTGAAACCCAACGGGCCGGCCCATTTAAAGCTCATATATTAAATTATATTTGTTTTAGAGAAAAATAATATATAATATTATTATATTTATATCTTAAATTCAAATCTATTTCTCAAATTTCAAAACTCAAACAATAATCTAGCCATTTTCTATTTAAATGTACTTTAAATAAAGTTATTGTCCTCTTTTTTCAACAAATAATAAATCTTGTTAGTATATACATAATTGTAAAAAAAAAATATTTAAATGAAGTTGTAAAAAAAATTACAAAAAAAAAATGCAATACATATGTCAAATTTGTCGTGGGCCCATATCGGCCCATTTAGTGGCCCAGCACGAGCATGGCCCAGCTAGGGCTGTGGGCTCAGGCCGGGATTGATGATTTTCATAAATGGACGAGCCCAGCACGGCCTGTTTGACACCTCCAAGTGCAACATAGGTATCGAGCAAGTATATTTCAACAGTAACTATGATAATGCTGACAAGTCTAAGTATAGGCAGCATGATACAATCATATGCCATTACAAATCATAGAAGGGGGGGGAAATTTAGTACTTTCAACTATGTTTCCTGAACACAGACTACTCATTTTGAGAGAGTGACTATTAGCCCAATATTCCGAAGAAAATGCAAGAGTCAATCAGCTCATAGGCCAACTGAAGAAACAAATACATAGATGGTATGAGAGGCATCATAAGCAAGCATCCATAAAAGCAGAAGACATTCTAACCTGCGACGTCTGAGAAGGAATCTGGTCTCTTCCACACTGATGGTCCGAATACAAAGACAGGTCACTATCAAAAGTGTTATGGAAAACACAAGCATCTCGTTGCACGTCAAGGGTTTCTCCAATATCTTTGATCGTGTGCTTGCACCATCAGTATCTTGACTTGAAGGCTCAAGTTGCACAGGCTGCAAAGGAGAAATCATACAGGCAGCAAGTTCATGTACATTGTTCACATTGATGCGAAGAGGCACAATCTCATTCCGTAGAGTATCTAAGGCCGCAACCATTTTTTCCTTTTTCAAAAGCTCAAAGAACTTCTGTTCCAATATCACAAAAGATGCTGATTTCATGGTCTTTTCATCCAAGAGATCAATTGCACGCAAAGTGGCCACACTGTCATCCCATTTTCCATCCATCACTTGTTGCATAAACAGGTTGACCACTGACGAGTGCATTGGTATTCCAGATTCTTCCTCTAGTATGGCTCCAGTCTTATCATAACCTAGTGAGTACAATGCCCTAGTTATAACTTTGATGAATTCTGACCTTTTGATGACTCCTGTTTTACCAATTGTTTCTTCATCTCCTTGGGATGGTAGAGGCCTAGCCATATAGTCTCCCAAAGAGGAAGCAACAGGATCTGTAATAGATGAGTGGTCTGAGGAGTTCTTTGATTCCGTCAAGGTAACTTTAACACGTTTCAGAGGTGGTTCGCTGTCCTCCCTACCTCCCATAAAATGCTCAACTCAGCCCATTTAGAAATTCTACAAGTCGAAAGGAGCAAATTTAAAAAGATAAACATCTGACCACTAATGCATCCGCATGAAACTCTTTCTAGAAGAAAATTGCATTGAAGAAAAAAATAAGCAGAGGCAAAGGTTTAACAAATCACTAACAAATTACAACACAAGACCTAACGACTGAAAAGGCCATATATAAAAGGAAAATAAAAAGAGCCATGAAATAGTGAACAACAATACGGGGAAGCAGTGTACATTCTATTAGAGCTAATGGCAGCCATAGCACGAGTTTCACATCTTCTTTCAGCGAACTGAGGATTGTTCTGGCTGAGCCATTAGTTCAAATACCTGATGACTGAAATGCCTAACTGAAGCTCGCAATTCCATGAACAATGGAGTCCCAAGACAGTTCAATGAGGGCTGTGACAATGTTATGATGATACCAATGATAGTAAATATCTAAATCTCCCCAACTAATGTAAATATCATATATAATGGAGGTGAGGGTCCAGAAATACCACCATTTATTTTCTTTAAAAAAAAAATTCATAAACTAATATGTAAAACTTTAACATTTGGATGAAGATGATGAATGAAAGAAAATGGGAAATGCAGTTTCAGTTCTTAGTATTATGATTCCATATAATTCTACCAATAAAATATTTGACCATTTGGATTCCACTTTGAAATTTGACTCAGAATGGTAAAGGGATAAATATAGGCATGCGAATTAAATGGCTTAGCCGCTCAAGAGATGATATTGAACGGACAAAAGATGGCTGTCCAGACCTCACAAAGCAGTAGATTAAACAAATGCAATAATCAGAACAAGAATCTAATATAAAGCATAAGCAAAAGTCACCAATAAGAGAGTAAAGAAAAAGGCAGCATGAAGATGAAAAGCAAACAGCTAGAGATCGAAGATTTCATACCAGAAGGCATAACCCAATAAAGGGAATCAATCTGGGAAGCCAAAAACTCGCCAACTGGGAAAAACCCAGAAGCCAAAACAAGAGAAATCTTTGAAAAGTGTGGTGTGTTCTACAGAAACAAGGCGTAAGGAGAAAAGGAGAGAACAAGTAGACCGAAAGTAACACCGAAAGTCGTGTACGGAGAGGTATGAAATAGAGAGATATTGGTAGGTAGGTTCAAATTTCTTTTAAAGAAAATTATGCTTTTGGCAATTGGCACGGAGAGAGAGAGAGGAGAGAGTTTCGAAATGCCAACAAACACCACACCACCCAACCCACATGGGCACTGCCACTGCACAACGCACTTGTGCGTGCGCCTATTTTGTTATGCGCATTGTCATTCTTGTCTTGCGCGTGAGTTTAGTTCTGTTCTGAGTCCTGACTTGGTTTCTGGGTTTCACACACACAACTCGAATTGCCAAGCCAATTTACCAAAAGAAAAAAAACCACTGCTTCGTTTTCATTTTTGACAGCTTCGCCATCCAGGTAACAACCACCATTTGTCCCAACTGTGCAACTCCCTCAAGTTCAACTACGCAAATTTATCTCGTCTTCTATACCTAAACTGAGAATTAATTCGGATTTTTAGATGCCATCAGAAGTCAGCAGAGCCAAAAATTTATCATTGTGGGGCGTGAACACTAAACATTTTGTCCCTCCCCTTAAGAAGCTGAAGAACATTAAGGATAACGTTGTGCATATGTTTACTTGAGATTTTGGGAAATAAAAAGAATTATTGGGGTCAATTGACTGTAACTTGAACGCAAAAGTAATTATGTTCACAAACAAATGATTGCGGCACGGCACATCAACATTCTCAATTGAACAGATACTTCTATAGCAAACCTATGAAACTCAGAACCTAAAAAAAAAAATTATGGTCATTGGCTCATTGCAACTACAAATTTGCCCTATTTTCAGCTGTTCATGCCACTAAATTCTTGTTGCTTCGGTAGCCATTAAAATGGGAGTCCATAAAAGTTGCTAAAATATGCCAGTAGAGCCCTTAACCCTTTCCCTGACCATTGTCTTAACAAACAGCTCCCCCGCCCTATATGAGGACCGGACCTGAAAAAATTAATCAACACAGAGATTTCTCATCAATAATGGCAAAACTAGGTTACTGCATTCAATCAAGAATGGTAACAAAAGATAATTCTCATGTTCTATACAATTGACATTAATGAAGATCTCACCAAGGGCCCACTGGCTACATAACGAAATCCAATAGACTCCCCATATTCCTTCCAGAAAACAAATTTCTCAGGGACAACATATTCTTTGACCGTCAAATGCAATGGAGTTGGCTGCAACAATTTAAGCAATTTAGAATCGAAGTCTTTATCACAAAATTCTACTGGAGTAACAGTCTCATTTGAGGATTGCCTCAGAAACAGTAAAGTGGATCGCTTATGCAAATAAAAACTACCACGGGTAAACAGGGCCAGATTACAGCCATTCTTCAATTATACAACGCGAATAGACAGCCAAAATTCCAGGGCTAACCCGGTCCAACCTTGGGGACTCATATGAAATGGCACCAGTCTTACAACTGTAAGTTCCAATGTATTTGCATGAAGTACTCAATGCTAAATACATGAAAGCTATGTGTATTAACTAACCTGTAAATATTGTCCAAGTGTCAATATATCAACATCTATAGCCCTTAAATCAGCCATAGCTTGCTTCAACTCGTCGTCTGATTCTCCCAGGCCCAACATTATAGAAGTTTTTGTTATCATCCCCTTCTTGCTCTCTTTTGCATGCTTTAGAACAGATAAGCTCTGCTCATACCTGCATTACCAGATTAAATATAATAATCTCAAGTAGCAGCAGTGAGCACAATTTCAGAATGAGAACTAATCTATGAAAAGCAGATGATGTACTAGGTTAACTACCCTACTATCGAGACATTTACCCCTAAACTGGATTGACGCTCTTAGAAACAGACGGATGATTTTCCACGCTCTAGAAATCCATGGAAGTTCCATATGTGTCATTTCGTCAACTTAAAGAGGCTTAAGTTACAATGAGTGAGAGCACATCCAAAGTTTCATAACTTCAAAGAGCCACAAAGCAGGTAGACAGATTCTGAGAGGGATGCCTGGACAGGTTTTTCTCCATATCAAGGCTTTTGAAAGTGGTTAATGTGGTCTATCGCTGAAAACCAACAGTTAAGATGTGAGAATATGATCAGATGAATTTGGATTGGTGCAAACATGGGACACTTACAACTCAATCTCACTAATTTTTTCAACTAGAGGTCCCCAACACTTGCATCCATTGGTTGGACATGGAGAGGGAAGCAAACTTATACGAATCAAGTTTCCAAGTAAAGAGAATTTATAAGTTTCAGAAAGGAAGTGGCATGATTATCATAAGGTGCAGACCTAACTCTTACGGTAGGACCAGTTCACCCTATAATAAAGAGTTGAGGGACCATTTGAACGAAGAATTTAGTTAAGAGACCATTTGAATCGAAAATTCTTTAAAACAATTTTGCTTAATCCAAGTTTCTAGTTGACATCATTGAAAAATGCAAACTTCACAATTCACAGACCACATTTCATGTGCAAACTATGGGAATATATGGATTTCAAAGTCAAATCCTTTAAGATCAACACCAATTATGTACCATTCACATTTAAGTTTAACTCAAAACCCGTCTGCCTATCCCCAAGTGAACAAGCTAAGCTATGCTAAGAGGAGAAAGGGAATAGAGAAGTAAGCAATGCATATCTTGATATAACTTGATGAGCCTGTTGACTTATCAACAAGGGAACATCTACAACACATGACATTCAGTAGCCCCATTTCTCTGTGTGTAAGCATACAATAAGTTTGAGCATCTGTGCCTAAGCATGTGGCGCTTATACACGCACTTGCAGGCATGTGTATAGATCAATGTGGTTTAATGAAAATGTGCTGCTGTGTCTAATATCAAAATTATGGTACACATTAACCCAGAAGAATTCCTTTGGTGTCTAATTTCCCTTTGTTTAAGCTATATGGTGAATGGATGTGAATAATCTATGCTGCTAGCATAATGGAAATGACACTCCAACTATATTTATGCTAATTTGTGGGTGAACATAATAAGCATGCCCAAACAACAAGTTAAACGGACAATGGGTAGTGCATGATGCAGATGACTAGTAAGCAAAATATATAACTGAAAGGCTTTGGGGAAAAGAAATAGAAAAAAGAAGAAGAAAAATAAGATAATGGGTAGTGCATCTGACCCCGCCCGAGGGTCTCTGACAATTCGCTGGAGGCGTTTGACGGTCTCAATGTTGTGAGCAAAGACATCAAGCCCGGAGTAGAGCAGAGTGTCTACAGCCGTCAAGTCACCACGAAAGTCAGAAGTTAAACATTCAACCATGATGTCAGGTTTGAGAGTCTGCAAAAGTGCAAAATAAGTTTGTATTAGTTGAATGCATTACAATCAAGTCAAGGCTTATGTTGTCTCAGTATGTTGCCAAACAAACAGTGAGTATTGCAAGAGGAGGAAGGTTATGTGTGTATGAGATGATTAGGAAAGATGCAAAGTTAGTTATGGGGTGAGAGAATTACCTTGAGGGCTTGGACGGTCAGAGCAAAATGTCGACTTCCACCATCAGGCAGGTCATCACGATCGACGCTGGTTAAAACAATATAATCGACACCCCAGCTGACAATGGCGTTAGCAGTGTTGAGAGGTTCCATGGGATCAGGAGGTGGAGGGGTTCGGCTGGTCTTGACGGCACAGAAACGACAGCCACGGGTGCAGGTGTCCCCAAGAAGCATGATAGTGGCAGTGGAAATGCCATCCCCACCTCCATTCCAACACTCCCCGATGTTTGGGCATTGGGCCTCCTCGCACACCGTCTTCAGATTCAAACGGGACAATGACTCCTTGACCTCCTCATACTTGTTTCCTTGTGGGGCTTTCTGCCTTAACCAGTCGGCCTTCTTCACATTTGGGTCTCTCCCCGTGTGCAGGCCCCCCACCACCGCCTCACATCGTAACCTCCTAGACCTTGATTGCACATTCAAGGGTTTTGATGATGATGCTCCTCCTGCTGCTGCAGACATAATCTGGCCTTTTGGAATATCAATTGGGACTATTGACCAACATGATGAACATTGCACCTGTTGAATCATCATTTTCAATTCTTTCTTCTCTTCTCAAGATTTGATTGCAATCCACCACCAATTTCACTTTGAAGGAGCCTCCTTGTTTTTCCTGCGTTTGTAATAGTGCCTCAAGCTTAAAAACAGAATCTAAACAGCCCATGCATTATACCAAAAAACAGACTAAAACATATTCATATCATTTGGATATAAATAAATAAATAAGCCGGATTCATATAATTTGATAAAATAAAAAACAGAGATAAAAAGTACGTAATTTTACCCTAAAAACAAACCAAACAGGCTCACAACAAAAATTAACCAAGCATATCATTCAGTTGGTTAATTTCCCAGGCATACCAACAGAATAATATTATTCCCAACCATGAACTAATACCAACAGAAATTAACTAAAAACAAAGAACTAATGCCTCAGAAATTAAGGGCCCATTTGTTAATGTTTTGAGGAGCTGTTTTCCATTTCTGCAAAATGAAAACGATGAAAAATGCGCTCAACGAGCAATAATTGAAAACACAGAAAACAGAACAATAACTAAAAGACGTTTTCCACATTTTAAAAAAAAAAAAACTGAAAACGCGGGATTGAGTTTTGAGAAACACCCCACAACCACATCAAGCCATACAGGACCTGGTTGCAGATTATTTGTGAAATTTTTTTAATTACTGAGGTGTTTCAATTAATCTCTGATCTAGCCATTCTATACGTTTCGGGTTCTACTAAAATTTGCAAACTGATGGTGTGGTTGTGAGGTTGTTGAGCAGCAGTGTGGTGCAGTAGTTTGACGATGAGCAATTTGACTAGACGATATATTATGCTCTTCTGTCAAGTGTAAGAGCTGGTGGGAGGGATGGTTGGGTTAAACTTGCGTTAATTATAAGAGGCTTATTAGTTTTTGATAATTACATTCATGGTGTCACTCAAATTTTGTTCAAACATTTGATGTCCTAGCATTACTTTTTCGGTAATTATTTCTATGACAATGTGTTTGATTCATTATTCATTAACAGGTCTAAACAAATATACCACAGAACAATTAAAACAAAATCCCCAATTTAATTTCCACAAACCTGAGTCTGGAAAATCAAGTTGAAATACAGAGCAATTGGAGCAAGAGGACACATACGTACCTGATATTGAGATGAGATGAGAAAGAGAGTTAGCTGAGATGGAGCGGAGAGGCTGAGAAGTTTTGGATGAGAGAGAGTTAGCGGAGCAAGAGGATCGAAGGAATAAAATACAGAGAGATGAGAGAAGCTGACCTGCGTGATATTGAGAGGAGAGAGGCGCGGAGGCGGAGGCGGCTGAGAGACTGAGAGTGAGAGGAGCGAGCGACGAGACGACATAGAAGAGAAGGAGAGCACCCTACTTGTAACCTTGTTCCACCTTGAACTTTCCGCCATTTGTTGGGTTGGTACTCTACTACTAGCTATTCCACCCAATGCAGAAATAGTAATTCAGTGAAGAAAAAAAATGAAAATTCACTTTTAACCCCTGTTCTGTTTTAGTGTGTTAACAATTAAGACAAATAAAGTATTAGACATAATTAACTTTACTAATTATTATTTAAGACATTGGGCATTTTTGTTTGGGTTTTAATACCTAGGAAAGAATTGTTATTTTGGATTAGGCCAAAGATGAGGCCCATATTCGTTGGGTTTGTCTAAATTATAAAGGTAAAATACAATTTTATCATTTTGTTTAAAACCATATCTCAGCCCCTCTTTCTCATCTTTCTTATTCACTCCATCGATAACGACACCCCCTCTCTCATTTTCCATTTTCTCTTCATCAACGATACGACGCCCTTTCGTTCTCCTCTTCCTTCTTCGCTCAATCAACGACGATGACACCCGCTCTCTCCTCTTCCTTATTTGCCCCATCGACAACGACACCCTCTCTCTCATCTTATTTCTTCTCACGCAAATCTATGTTTTTCATCTGTGTTTTCTAGATCAGATTCGTGCCAGCCTATATGGATCTAACAATAGATCCGTTATTTCCATTTTCTAGATCAGATTCTTCTCACACGAAGTTCAATTTATGTATCTATTGATTTATTAAGACTATATCGAGAACAAAAATGTAACACCCCGACTCTATTTAATTTTCCAATTCAAAAGGTTAAAATTAAATTAACTATGAAATTACGAAACTACCCTTGGGGTAGGGTATTTCGGTCATTTTCTTGTCCGGAAGAATTTTGGGTCCACCAGTGGTTTGGTTGCGTAGGTGGTTCTGAGATGAATTCGTAGACAGGCGGTAGGCTTGAATTGGAGTTATAACGAAGTTTTGGCGATGAAATTTCTTTCGGTGGCAAAATCGTAAATAATTCGAAAAGGGTATTTGTAAAAAAAATCAGATTCTTCAATTTCATTTCACTCTTTCTCTCTCTCCCGTGCGTTCTCTTTCTCTCTCTCGCGAACTCTCTCTCGTCACTATTCACCCGAACGGAAAAATCCACGCCGCCATCACTTCCGGCCACCTCAGCTATCGAGATTGGTCCCAAAAGCTTCGTCTCGACGTTCTGGTCAAGACCCACTAGTTTTCGTCGCCAGAAAACTTGAGAATAGTCAGCAGTATCGACTGGTTCAAATCGGAGGTTTTCCGATCGTTGCACCACCGCTTCAGTCGTCCTTTTCCGGTGTTAAAGGTGAGATTTCTCCTTCTTTTTATCTGTTCTAGCTGCCTATTGCTTAGAATGGAAACAATTTTGAGGTTTTGGAAGTTATTTTCGAATTAGGTTTTTGGCCGGTTTTCAATTCGAAATTCCGGCCAGTTCCCGGTGGTTTTGGGCTTGGCCGTAGAATGAAATGCTTCCCTAGTTGAGTAGGATCTGTAGCCGGGATGGTGACTTGTGATTTGGAGATTTTCCATCGTCGAAATTTCTCTACACACCCGCTTGCTGCCAGCGCGTGTGGCGGCGCTTGGGCAAGTGTGGTGGAGCTACAAACTGTTCCAATGTGATCTTTACATTGTTGCGAGCGCATAGGATTTCGCGGATCTCGATTCCGAGGTCGTTTGACTATCGAACGGATTATCGCATATTGTGCGTTATTCGGGTTCGATATGTTCAGATGGATCATTTTCAAATTGAAGTATGTTTCTTTAGATACCCTTAGGATCATGTAGGATTCGACGGATCGTAAAACTGAGTCCCGGATACTCCGGAAATGCCAACCCTAGGGTGAGGGTTTCAGTAATCGTCCAATCGTGCGATCATGAGCGATCTAACCGTCCGTTTCGGACCAAACTTACAGGACGTGTATCCTAGACCTCGTAAAACCTATAGGAACTCCTGAGAAGCTAGGGTTTTATTTTAAAGTTCTGTTTTGAAGCGCTTGATATTCATCACATTTTCGTATTCTGAATCAGGTACTCCGACTCAGCATACGCAGCAGGCAGGACCCTCTAAGGGTCAAGCTGTGTGGGACTACTTGTGAGTGGACTTTTCTTTTGAAACTTAGTATGATTTTATTCATGGGAATATGGCATATTGTTTTATTATGTCTATTAATTATTTATATACGCTCGAATGGGATTTCGAGGTTTTCGTAAAACTTATTATGATATTTGAATTTTGAGAAACTATATTTACATGCGGCTATGCATGGGGTACTTGGTGATTAATATGAACTATGGAAAGGTAATGTTTGATATGTTAATTGGAGTGCGTTAAGCACTAATTCATGTACCTCCCCTGATCTGAATTTGGTTACGAATATTGGATACTTTTGAAATTATTAGAACTCAGAACATCCTTGAGGGGATGTTGCTGTGGACCCTGGATTTGGGGTAGTCTATGCGCGTAGGACTGGTATTTCAGGCGTACAAGCTTTGACTGTATCAGCTGTACGTGCTGCCTGAGAGTTAGTCCCCCAGTTGCTACTCATCCCTGGACGCGGGTTCTGGTTCGAAAATCCTGCGTACCAGCTAACAATTCCCCGGTTGGATTGTCTCCCCGGTACATTAGTTTGGAGTGGAGTATATATACTATACTAGAGTCCTAGCTATATGTATATTTATATATGGGTATTTACGGGTGTTGAGAGTTGCATATATTTTGGGAAATGAGTTATGAGCTTGAGATGTGGAGATGTTTTGGACTTGGGATTTTTGTACTTGAGTTTTGGTTTCTGAATTGTGAAACTGCATGCTAGAGCATTATTTTTACATGGTGGGGTTACTATGTTGTTTTAAAGTGAAACTTGATTTTTGTCCACTCACAACTTTCTGTTTTGCGCCCCCCAGCCAGTAGAGACTGAGCTCTGCAGTTGAGCCGGACCGGGTGCATCTTGGAACTCGAGTCTTAGTAGAGACTCTTGGTACTTTTTCCTTTCAGTTAAACGGTACTTCGGTTGTATTTTGAATTCCGTAGATATGCTCTGTATCGCCCGCTGAGGGTTTAAATTTTGTGAGGCCGGAGGCCTTGTTTGTAAATTATTTTATTGCTTGTAAAGCATGCTGCCAGTTGGTTGTATTTAACTATAAATTTTGAACAGGTTGAAGTTTGGAAATGTTCAATTTACAGGGGAGACTCTGCCAAATTTTTGGTAGAAAGTCTCAGTCTTTAGTAAGTGGGCCTGGCATCGGGTTGATGTCGGTAATTAGGCGGGATCCGTCCCAGATTCCGAGGAATTTCAGGGTGGGTCTTGTCAAAAAATTTGTGTCATTAAAGATCCATATAGTCTTAATAAATCAATAGATACATAAATTGAACTTCGTGTGAGAAGAATCTGATCTAGGAAATTGAAATAACGGATTTATTGTTAGATCCATATAGGCTGGCCTAATGGATCTACAAAATTGAAATAAGAATCTGATCTAGAAAACACAGATGAAAAACTGAGCTTTGCGTGAGAAGAAGGAAGATGAGAGAGAGGGTGTAGTTGTCGATGGGGCAAATAAGGAAGAGAAGAGAGAGCGGGTGTCGTCGTCGTTGATTGAGCGAAGAAGGAAGAGGAGAAAGAGAGGACGTCGTATCGTTGATGGAGAGAAGAGGGAAGATGATAGAGGAGGCGTCGTCATCGATGAAGTGAATAAGGAAGAGGAGAGAGAGGGGCTGAGATATGGTTTTAAACGAAAGGGTAAAATTGTATTTTACCTTTATAATTTAGACAAGCCCAACGAATCTGGACCTCTTCTTTGGCATAATCCCAAACAACTAGACAAACTCTGGATTCTGAGCTCTAGGGGTTATTCTTTGGCTTGAAGCTTGTTGCGGCTAAAGGGGTGGCTAGGCTTTCTATTGAATTGGATTCTATGACTGCTGTTCAGCTTATCAAGCAGCATGTTCCTAGTTGTCTTCATCCTTTTGCTAGGGTGATTGCAAGTAGTATTGCTTTGATGAGTAAGTTTGAATTTGTTGAGCTTACTCATGTTTATAGGGAAAAGAATGTTGCTGCAGATTGTTTGGCTAATTGGAGTCTGAATATGGATTTGGGGGTCTGCTATTTTGATGAAGCTCCGGTTTGGATTAGTTTTATCCTTATTGATGATTTGTTGGGGGTTGTGAAGCCTCAGATGATTAGTGTTGGCTAGTTGGTTTTTTGTTTATGGGGTTTTCCTCCCTTCTTCATCACAAATAAAATAAAATAAATAACCAAACAAAAATGCCCTATGTCTTAATTACTAATTAGTAAAGTTAATTATGTCTAATACATAATTTTTCTTTTGTTTTATTTACTTTACTGCTTTTTCTACAACACCTATCTTTTCTTTTTGCTCCACCAGCGTTTATTATAGGGGAGATTTAGAATCAGACGTGGGCTAGAAGATGGCATCTCGCCATGGCAGAAAATAAACGCTTGATATAGCAAAGCGTCCGTCAACTTGTTTATTACTCCCATCTTCATAGATATCAGAAATTTAGGGTGATGTTTGGTACCCTATTCAAATAGGAAACTCAAAAATGAATACCATTAATTTCCAGCTATAAATCAAATATTATCCTATTTAAAAATAAAGTTGATAATACACACTTTATGTGACAGAATCTGGGCTGATGCTGCAACCAAAATTTTTAAGTCTACATGATCCAGAAATGAAACAGATTACGCTTATATGGACAGAATTTTTATCTGAGCCAAAACTCTTGGATATGGAGCACGTGAATCAAGAAGGAGAGAGCCCTAGCCAGATTCATCTGAATCTGAAGCATCAACCATCTTTTCCAAGGAATCCATATCGCCAGCTTCAGAGATCGCATGTATCCGTAATTTGTCTGCATCTTCACTGGGCATAAGAGAAAAGAAGAAGAATTAACGAAGAGCACCGAAAACATTGATCTTAAAGTTTCGTTCTGATCACAATGGCATGACCATTTCTTTTTCCCTCATTCTTTTAAAAAAATTAAATAAGAGCTGAAAATTAGGATAGAGGCCTACTCAGTAACACCAAATAT